AAATTGTTGTAGTTAATTTGAGGCACCAACCGAGTGTGCTGATGACAATTAATTGTTGATTTTTCTCCTGAATACACACACATTTTTCCAATCCAAATTTAAAGGGTTCTATTGTAAATCAAAGCATCTTTGACACATGACATGTTATAGTACCAAACACTCAATTATAAATATGATTTGACACTAACACACTTTGAAAGTGTTTCATTCAACTATGTCCTATTTGATTAAATATAGACCGCAGCTGATTTATATAGATGAGTTGTATACTTGAATTTATAAAGTCAATACACTCAAGCCTGTAAGCATTGTTCAAAATCTCTTAAAACCTCCTTTGTGTAAAACTCTAAAATTACTTTAACTTAGCTTTCCGAGATTGGCAATTTAAACGAAATGGCATAAGGAATGAAAACACTACGAAATTTTATTTTTAACTCAGTCGAAAGTTACCAGCTCAAAAGAGTTATTATCTTGTTTGTAACCTCTCCTGAGAAAAAATATAGTCTACAGGCACACTCACTCAAATATTTTTTTCCTAGGACGCTAGGCACGATCCTGGGATTGTTTTTCACATTACTTCAGGCTATACCTAGGTTGTGAAATCATCACTTACATAAAACCCATTGGTGATTTTGGGGAATTTGAACACGGAACCTCAGGGCCGAAGTCCCGTGCTCTACCAATAGACCAGCTTGCTCCCCTTAAATTAAAATAATAATAGTCAACGCTAATCGATGTTCAACCAGAAGATCCTTTCTAACTGCAAAATATCCACTATATGCACCTGCTAAATATCCACCTCCACTGTGGGGTCTGACCTCCACCTTCGCAGACCGGTGGTGACGCGGGCAGGCGAAGACCTGGCGACCCAGGGCGAAGTCTAGAGGTCAAAGTCGAGAAGGTCAAGGCCACTTGATGACCTGGTTAGATCCACTGATCCGCATTCTCGAGTCTTGTGTTCTTTGTGTGCAAATGTATAATTGGGTGAGAGGTGGCGTGCGACATCCAGAAATTGCTTTTTGATTGGCCTGCAGACAATTTGGGTGTTGACTTGTTTGTTATCCGTTGTGAAGATTTATAGGTTGGAAGAAGATTAAGTTTATATAGAGTTAACGGGTTTCTATTTCTTTATTTGTTGACCGTCTGATTGTAGTTCTGAGCTCGACCTTGAACTTTATTTCATAAACATTAGTGGATGCCAGAAAGTAAATCTACAGCTTTGACAGCAACCATTTAATAATCTTACAAATACAACGATGAAAAGAAAATCAAAATAACTTGATTCAATAGGCACCAAGAGGGCCAGATGAGTCTTCCTTACACATAACCTGAACACACATAAACACATGATTCAAACCATACTAACTTCACGTTGAACATTCTTTTCTTTTGTCCAGGTTAAGCAAACAACATCCTTAACCATTCATCAACATTACAGTTATTAGTTTTATGTAAAATCCTGGTATTACAACCAAAGAGATCCTAATGGCACTCTTCTGGTTAATATAATCTTCGTAATCTTCATAGTGCCGCCTATAACGATAGACCTATGAGTCATACAAAGTTTGAAAAACAAATCATTGGTCGTGCTCAGAACCATCCGATATTAATGGGCCCGCTTCGCTGCCCAAGGGGGCCAATTTTGCAAATAACCATCCGCAGAAATATATTATTTCTGAAGAGCCATTTAATTATCTACTGACCCAATAGTTATGTTAATGACTTGTTCGAGCACCGTTAGGTGGTACGTTTAAAGTTGTTCTGTTTTTACACCTATTTTCCAATCAACTTCCATGACCGCTTCTATAATTCTTATTCTATAATCAGGGATAAAGCCTTATAAAGTCAGAGTAGACAGTTCAGTAGATGCTTTAACAGAAGACAAAAAAGCTACTGACACATCCCTAAATATAGCAAATGTTTAGCATGATGTAACCCTGAACTCGAGACGAGGCTAAGCTGTAATTTTAGTGCGTTAAACGTCAAGAAACTATATTATAACTCATTTGCGGTTTACTAAGTATAGACATTGCAGTACTAAAATGTATCCAGGAACAATTTGACTCAACAAAATTACCAAATTTTGTACAAGACACGTTTAATGGAAAATGTCGGTAAATAACGTTGTGTCATTGGAAAACTTCCAGATTCGTCAAAATGACTTGGTAAATAATTGGTAATAAGAGTACTTTTCTTCTTTCTAACCAAATGTTAAATTAATTCATGTACTGTTTCTATAACACCACCCGTTTAGCTATCACCCTAATAGCAAAACAAGTATGTTTAAGGGTTTATTTAATTGAAATGTCATATTTAATAAAATATTTAAATAAAAAAATAAAAATATTCCAGGGTGCATTATTTTTCTTTTTTTATTTAAATTCTTCTTAATTTTATAAATAGTGACCAGTTTCAAAATGTATCCTACGAATGAAATTCGCAACGAATTATGTTACTTGTAGGATGAATATCGAACCATTCATGAGATTTAAATAAGTTAGCCAAAGATACACTAAATTTACTTTAAAAAAAAACTGAGTTTTCATCATGGGAACTTGACCTTCAACTTCAACACTATTCACTCGAGTTACATTCATCAATCCCAAGTGTACTGATAAGAATTATCATTTCTCTGAATACAGCTCATCCCTTTTTTGCTTAAAATGCATTTTCGCTATATAAAATATTCTTTTACGATATCTCACCATTTCTTTGTAGTCTTCTCATCTTTTGCCACCAATTTGACACTCGTCTGACATTCATATTCACAACAATAACAAATAACCCATGTAGATGTCTTTTTATGACGACGTTTAGTTTATCAGTGAATCTTTTCCAACTAAAAATCTTCCCTGAGAATATTTTGTGGGGTCAAAGTCCTAGATGCTCAGGTATTTCTCACGACAGTTTGGCCGAGCCTGTTTTTTGCTGCACTCCCTGCGGCAATATTCCCTGACGTACCGGTCTATATATAGGCACCTGCTTGACCAGTAGATAGACACAGAAGTAGACTGACTCAAGCAAGTCAACACTCTCGATCATCAGGTGTATGCTGGTTTTGTAAGAAATGTTAACAACATTTCCGTGTGGAGAGGTATATACCATTGCTATCAACACATGGTCTGCGAACACTATATTATCATTATGGCAATGGATATACTTGGGTAAGGATTGATTCAACTTATCTGTCTGGACCTCTAAACGACACCAAAATACTATTGCAAAAATTGGTATAATTTCATTTAAATATCAAAATCAACACAGTATCTCGAATAAATTTTGATAATACATTATCATTATGAGATGGGGACACAACCTCTAGCCCAAATATAAGTGAAAGATGAGTGTAGAATTTTGTAGCCTTAGAAAGTGTTGCTTCATGTTTGACTAAGATCAGTTGTTTCGTAAGTCAGGATCGTTTATTTAAAGCCCAATGATTTTGGTCAGCTGGGTCCAGTTTCGAACCATCAAAAAGCAACTTACTTTTATCAGGATCAAACCGGAGACATTTTGATTGCTATGTCAAAAGGTCATATCAATCAAAAGGTTCATACCTAAGTAATCGGCAGCAAAAGGTTTTTCCCAGTCAAGTCTTCTCGGGACAAACTGAGGTGAAATATGGGGTACCACAGGGGTCGGTACTAGGCCCTTTCCTTTTTCTAGTCTTAATAAATAACCTAAAGACCTAGATCTGAATGTGCATGCTAGTTCTATCCTTCCTTTTTCTGCAATGATCTATTGCATTTTAATTATAATGTTTAATGATCAAATAAATCTATCTATCTATCTATCTATCTATCTATGCGAGCACTTGAACACATTAGCCACTCAGCTACCCTAATATTAATCCAATCCATAAGAGGGGGTGGGTAAATTAATAATTTAGTTTAAACATAAGCCTAATCTCTAGATATAGGCTATTCTTCATGATTCGGGATCGCTTATAACAACAATTGTCAACCTTTAACCTTTAAAATACGGTCGTAGGTAAAAAGATTAAACTGACTAATAACCCAACGGTTGTTGGGTTATGAACTTGCTAATTGAATATAAGCTGACGATGAAGATGAATCTTGCCGTAATGATTAACATAACTACGAATCATCATTGAATTAATCGTGCATTTCAGCCGCCGTTACGTTTGATTATCAAAAGTCCGATGACATTCTGAGGCTTTATGATTTAATTTACAAGTGATTAACAAGATAGTTTCGTTTCAGATAATACACGTTTAAAGATAAATAATATACGGCATAGGAGTAATCAATTCTTGTAAATTTTGTAAATGGCATAATAGTGGAATCTATTTTTGTTTTGATTTGGCCGGGTTATGATCAAGTATCTTTAAAGTTGCTGATCTGAGAAATTTAATTTGCTTGTCCATATATTGTACAGTTTGTTTCACAAAGTCTGGACAAATAAAAAGTGCCGACACTACTATGTAAAACTGAACAACTTTTTTTTACAGTGGGTGATTTGGCTTTGGTATAATTTGCATTTCCTTTACAACAAAAACATCTAAGACAATACACACCAAACTACATAGTAAAATTAATAATACTTTTTGGAAGGCTATACAAATCTCACAAGCGTAGCAAGGTACAGGCAGGAATCTGAATGTTGGTATCTTTCACCTCACAACACAACTGGTTTTGCCATCACATCGCAAATCAAAAAGAAGACGTGATAACAAGGTTCTGCTGACCACTGGCAACCCACAATCATTTTCATCATTGGTAATAATTGCTGTTTCAGTATGTGGAAGGCAGATATCGTCAAACGGTCTGTGAGATTGGATCAAGAAGTTATGTGTATATTTGTCCAAATAACTAAATATATGCCACCAATAGAATGGGGGGGTTGATGCTTTGTACGATTGACAAATGGAATAAGTTCGGAAAAATTTTCTAACATAATAAAGTGCATATAAACCGTGCCATTGCTTATGATTTGCATTGATGCTTTTGAGTCAATGTACACATTCCGGGGTATTTTAAACCATGAGTGAAACAGTGTTGAAATTGAGAAAAGGTATGATGACCTGTGTGACTTCGTCACCGACTAATTTATTGGCTGGTATCTTAGCTTACTTAATTATGAGGCTAATAGCCGATTAACAGTGTTGATACGAAAATTTATTAAGATAAACAAGAATAGTTTCTAAAAAATATTTAGAACAATATCTGTTAACTTATTAACTAGTTTATTAATTGAGCTACAACATTGACATAATCACTAGCACTAACCACTCGAGCATTGCAAAAAACTATTCACTACAAAAAGCTATGAGATTATCCTCATCTGACAGGTGGACTAAAAGTTAGATGTCTGCGCGTTGTAATGCCAAGCTGTGATTTGTACTCTACAGATGACATCTCTATAGACCAACAGATGAAAAACATCGCAGCCTCGCCGTCGCCGCTTCATGTTTGAACGTCTGAGTATCTCTCAGGTCGTAGAGTGAATCTGGTTTACTATAGTGCAATTGAAAGAGTGTATAAAGATATGAAGTACACATCGCACCTAGAGGAACTGACGTGATATGACAAAAGAGTTTAGGAAATAATTGACTCTGTATTGATTTCTCCTCGTGGTTTTGGAGGTTGTGCAAGGTGTGTGGAATTAAATCAATATTTCTTCGTGTGCACGTGATACTTGCCGTCAGTAGTATTTATCCACACCACGTTTCAAATGCATTCGATCTTTATCTTAGACGTGATAGTTGTGTAAGAACGATATTCTTGTTTATATAGTCATAGGTTTATATAAAGGAGTTTGCTCTAATTAAGTAAAACATTTCTCTTTTCCAGAATATCGGAGGGACAAGGCCTTAGGGAGACAGAATGGAGGAGCCTTCCAGTGTCCTTCAGAAGGGTTCCACCCACATCCCAACGACTGCAAGATCTTCTACCGCTGTGTGGAATGGGGATCTTCCGGACAACCTCAGCTGACAGCCTTCCAGTTCGAGTGTGGTCCTGGATCTGTCTTTGACAAAGACAGCGCTATCTGCATCCACGCCTCAGCTTCTCCAAGAGCAGAGTGTAGAGCCCTTGCTCCTCCTCCGGACCCAGAACCTGAACCTGGCCCAGGGGAAGGAAATAACGATGTTTCTCCTGTAGCCAACCCAGAACCAGGACAGTCACAGCCCGTTAGACCTGCATATCCAGAGTCGAAGCCTTCAGGAGGGGCGGAGTATCCTGATTATGACGGAGGAACTGGAGGAAATGAGGACGGCGAATCACAAGGATCAAACGAACAAAAGGTTGAAACACCTCCATGCGCTGGAGAAGGGTTTTTTGGAGTCAAGGGAGCTTGCAGGCAGTTCTACAGATGTGTGACTGATGGAGCCGGAGGGTATGTAAAGTACGACTTTTTATGTGTCAAAGGCACAGTATGGGATGAGGCGACTGAGTCTTGTAATCACGCTTGGGCAACCAAGAGAGATGATTGTAAAGAAGAACCATCTGGGGAGGGAAGTTCATCTAGTCAGCAAGTCGGAGGCCATCCTCAGCAAGGTGGAACACCACCAATCAGCACCGTGACTGAGGGAAGCAATAGTTTTTCGTCGAGTGAGTCGTCGGTTTCAAGTGGATCTACGGGATATCCATATCCAGGAAGCTCAGGAGGGAGTTGGTCCTCAACGACGGCCCAGCAAGGCCAAATAAGTGGAACAAACCAACCAAGTGGATCTGTTGTTTCAACTGAGGAACCGGACACACCTGAAGGTGAAGAAGATAGTTCTGATAGTGGAGAATGTTCTTCAGAAGGGTTTATGGAGGTCAAAAACAACTGCAAGAAGTTTATAAGGTGTGTCTCTAATGGCGAAGGAGGGTTCACAAAGCATGAATTCAAGTGTGCTGAAGGAACAGTGTGGGATCAGACTCAAGAGACTTGCAACCATCCGTACTTAGTCCAAAGGCCAGATTGTGGATTAACGACTCCTCGAGCTCCTCTATCGGACTCGACCTTAGATGATTCAACAATAACACAAACTTGGTCAAATAGTACATCTAGTAGTAGCAGTTCAAGCGCATCGTCTGCATCCTCTTGGAATACAACGACTTCGATATCAAACAACAATAACGGACAAACTACTTCGTCTGCTGGTGGAAGTCAGTCAGCTATGGAATCTAGCAGCAATCAAATGTCTTCTGCTTCTGGAGGTTCTACAACTACGACGTTAGGAAGTAGTCAAAGTGGTTCCGGGAGCTCACAGAACCAACAATCATCTTCTTCTGGTGGCCAGTCTCAAACAGCTTCAGCAGCAAACAATCAGCAATCTTCCTCCTCAGGAAGTAGTAGTCAAAGTACTTCTGCTGCAAATAATCAGCAAGCTTCCTCATCTGGTGGTAGCACTCAAACTACTTCGTCAGGAAGTAACCAACAGGCATCATCTTCAGGAAGTAATACTCAAACAACATCAGCTGCCAACAACCAGCAATCATCGTCATCTGGTAGTAATACCCAAACCACATCAGCTGCTAATAATCAACAGTCTTCGTCTTCTGGTAGTAATACCCAAACCACATCAGCTGCTAACAATCAACAGTCTTCGTCTTCTGGTAGTAATACCCAAACCACATCAGCTGCCAATAATCAACAGTCTTCATCTTCGGGTGGTAGTACACAGACAACTTCGGCAGCTAATAACCAACAATCGTCATCCTCAGGAAGTAACGCACAATCAACATCAGGAAACAACCAACAATCTTCTTCTTCTGGAGGTAGTAGTCAAACAGGTTCTACCGCAAGTAATCAACAATCATCATCAAGTGGTAGTGGTACTCAGACAACGGCTTCTGGAAGTAATCAACAATCATCATCAAGTGGTAGTGGCACCCAGACAACGGCTTCTGGAAATAATCAACAGTCTTCATCAAGTGGTAGTGGCACACAGACAACGGCTTCTGGAAGTAATCAACAGTCTTCATCAAGTGGTAGTGGCACTCAGACAACGGCTTCTGGAAGTAATCAACAGTCTTCATCAAGTGGAAGTGGTACTCAGACAACGGCTTCTGGAAGTAATCAACAGACTTCATCAAGTGGTAGTGGTACTCAGACAACGGCTTCTGGAAGTAATCAACAGTCTTCATCAAGTGGAAGTGGTACTCAGACAACGGCTTCTGGAAGTAATCAACAGACTTCATCAAGTGGTAGTGGTACTCAGACAACAGTATCCGGGAGTAATCAACAATCTTCCGGAAGTCAGGGTTCATCAACTACATCAAATCAGTCTGGATCAACATCAGGATCAAACTCACAAACAACATCGTCAGGAAATAATCAAGGTGCCACGATTAGTGCTGGTCAAGTTACACCTCCTCAACAAACAACCACTCCTAAACCTCACCCGACTCAGAGTACTAAGCCACAACCGGGTCAACCAAGTTATCCAAGCCAACCTAGTGGTCCCAGTCAACCGAACAAACCAAGCAATCCTAATCAACCGGTATACCCCAGTCAACCGAGTGGTCCAAGCCAACCCGGTTATCCCAGCCAGCCTGGATACCCCAGCCAGCCTGGACACCCAAGCAACCCTGGATACCCTAGTCAACCTAGTGGTCCAAGCCAGCCTACACACCCTAATCAACCCGGATACCCAAGCCAACCTAGCTACCCTAGCCAACCTGGATATCCAGGTCAACCGAGTGGACCAAGCCAACCCGGTTATCCGAGCCAACCTAGCCAACCTGGATACCCAAGCCAACCCGGTTATCCAAGTCAACCTGGTCAATCTAGTCAACCAGGATATCCAAGTGCCCCCAGTCAACCAACGTACCCGAATACACCAAATCAACCTATTTCCCAAGGCCCTTGTAAGCCAGGAGAATGTCCAGGTGAAGGATTCTACCCGGTGCAAGGAGATTGCTCTAAATTTATTAGATGTGTCAATAATGGAGCTGGATACACAAAGTATGAGTTTACTTGTGGTGCTGGTACTGTGTGGGATCCAGACATTATCGGATGTAACTACCCAGGAGCAGTGAAAAGGAACGACTGTAAGGACTCGAGCACTAGTTCAGCACAGCCAGGTGGGCAATCAGGATACCCAGGACAACCCGGACAACCGGGACAACCAGGACAGCAAGGACAGCAGGGACAGCAAGGATATCCAGGACAGCCTGGACAACCAAGTCAGCCAGGATATCCAGGACAACCAGGGCAGTCGGGACAACCGGGACAACCAGGACAGCCCGGTGGGCAGCCAGGATATCCTGGACACCCGGGGCAACCAGGACAACCGGGACAACCAGGTCAACCGGGACAACCAGGTCAACCGGGACAACCAGGTCAACCAGGCCAGCAAGGTCAGCAAGGATATCCAGGACAACCTGGACAACCTGGACAACCAAGTCAGCCAGGATATCCAGGACAACCAGGGCAGCCGGGACAGCCGGGACAACCAGGACAGCCCGGTGGGCAGCCAGGATATCCAGGACAGCCAGGACAACCAGGTCAGTCAGGTGGGCAGCCAGGATCTCCAGGACAACCGGGACAACCAGGACAGCCGGGACGGCCAGGAGGATCTGAAGGACGGCCATCAGGAACATCACCAATGACTCCTGAGCCCACAACTCCAAAACCAACAAATGGACAGTGTTCATCAGAAGGGTTCTTCCCAGTCAAAGGAGACTGCCGTAAATTCTTCAGGTGTGTGAATAACGGAGCTGGATTTACTAAGTACGACTTTAGTTGTGGTCCAGGAACAGTATGGGACCCAGAGATAACCGGATGTAATCATGCTTGGGCCGTTAAGAGGCAAGATTGTGGATCAAGTTCGGGAGGGACAGATGAGAGTAATGAGATTCCAGGATCAGAAGGTTCTATTAAACCCATTCACCAGGGACCAAGTCAGCCAGGCTATCCAGGACAGCCAGGACAGCCAGATCAACCAGGACAACCAGGACAACCGGGACAACCGGGACAACCAGGACAACCGGGACAACCAGGGCATCCAGGACAATCTGGGCAATCTGGTGGGCAGCCAGGACATCCAGGACAAACAGGACAACCAGGTCAGTCAGGGCAATCTGGCTCACAACCGGGATATCCAGGGCAACCGGGACAACCAGGACAGCCAGGCCAGCCAGGACAACCAGGGCAACCAGGGCAGCCAGGACATCCAGGACAGCCAGGACAATCTGGTGGACAGCCAGGATATCCAGGGCAACCAGGACAGCCAGGACAACCGGGACAACCAGGAGGACAAGGACGGCCATCAGGAACGTCACCAATGACTCCAGACTCCACTACTCCTCAACCTGTATCACATGGAGACTGTTCCTCTGAAGGTTTCTTCCCAGTTGAAGGAGACTGCAATAAATTTTACAGATGTGTAAGTGACGGTGCTGGGTTTACAAAATACGACTTTAGTTGTGGACCAGGTACTGTCTGGGATCCAGAGATAACAGGTTGTAATCATCCCTGGGCCGTAAAACGTAAAGACTGCAAAACGGGCCCTGGTGGAACTGATGAAAGCAATGAAATACCGGGATCAATGAATCAAAACAAACCGGAGCATCCAGGACAACCTGGTCAGCCTGGTCAACCAGGTAGCCAGCCAGGAAATCCAGGACAACCAGGACAGCCAGGACAACAGGGGCAGCTTGGACAACCAGGACAACCGGGGCAGCCAGGACAACCAGGGCAACCTGGTGGACAACCAGGATATCCAGGACAGCCAGGACAGCCAGGTCAACCAGGGCAGCCAGGACAGCCAGGACAACCAGGGCAGCCTGGACAACCAGGGCAGCCAGGACAACCAGGACATCCAGGACAACCAGGACAACCTGGCGGACAGCCAGGACAACCTGGCGGACAGCCAGGACAACCTGGCGGACAGCCAGGATATCCAGGATATCCAGGACAGCCAGGACAGCCTGGTCAGCCAGGACAGCCTGGTCAGCCAGGACAACAGGGGCAACCAGGACAACCGGGGCAACCAGGACAGCCAGGACAAGGTCAGCCAAGCCAACCTGGTCAGCCGGGACAACCAGGGGAACCAAATCATAGTACCTCTCCACCTTGTGAGACAAAACCACCTAGCAAAATTGTCTGCAACAAAGCAGGCTTCTACCCACATCCTACGGATTGCAAGAAGTTCTACCGCTGCGTTGACTGGGACGATGGTAAAGGAGAGAGGTTCTCAGTTTACCACTTTGACTGTGCTCCTGGAACTATCTGGGATCCTGCAATTGAAACCTGCAACCATCCGGAGTCTGTTTACCCACCGAGAGATTGCAGTGGAGGTGGATCCTCACCGGGACCTAGCGAGGAAAGGAACAATTCCACTGAACCATCTACTGGGGGAACTGAACCAACCGAGGGAACTACTAACTTGGAGTCTACAAGTGAGGGTACTACTTACGAATCAACGCCAGGATCTACTACAGAAGACAAGACTACAGAGGGAACTACAATCACGGAGAGCACGAGTGTTGAGACGACGTACCAATCAACTACTGAGGGAACGACTAACACAGAGTCGTCTACTCCTGGTGCCACTGAGACTTCAACACCTGGAGCTACTGAGACTTCAACACCTGGACCTACTGAGACTTCTACGCCTGGAGGTAATATATTCCACTGTTGGTAAATTTAGGTTTCTGGAAACTCAATATCAAACACGGAAAACATCATACTTGTCCAATATTTGTTTACCTTTGTCTTGGAAATTTTCAAATTTTAAATAGAATTAAATAACATGCAAAAGTATGAATGTAGTTCAAAATATTCTATCTATTAGAAAAAAGTAATTTTTTAACATCTCATTTGTTTTAATAAGATTTTTACAAATCTTTTATTTAGATCATTAAGGCAGATGGTAGGTGTATTTCATTTACTAAGACAGAAATGTATATTATGTATGACACATCTTACCACCAAAACGCCCCCAACCCCAAACCCAACCGCCTTCTTCCCAAACCCAACTTTACAAGTAGGTACTTAAATTGGTTGTCCCTAGTCATATACTACTTCTCATTTCTTTCTCTGGGATTATATTTTCCTGATAAGCCCATCCCCCCTCAGATATGTACATTTTCTTTCATTCGTAGATACTTAACGGTCCATTCATTTCCTGGAATATACTGAGGCCCCTCTTTCTAGCTTAACCTGATATTTGTTTTTCCAGGTTTGAAAACCCCTGTAATTTCTATATGTAGGCACAGAAATATCTTATATTGCCAAGTACTGAAAGCTCTTCTTTTTCTTTAGACCTTAAAAACTTATATTCTAAGGAATCAAAAGGCCCCTTTTCCCCTCAGGTTTAGAAAGCTCCTTGTCGTTTCATGAGCTCAATTTTCGTAACTTCTCATGTGGTAAAGGTATCTTTTCTTTACTTGTATTGAGCAAGTCATGTACTGAGCTGACCCTGAGCGCCTCATGTGTTATGAAATACTATAATATCTTATCTTCTCGGCTTCTGGAACTTTTCCCTGAGATAGAACTTCTCCAACTGGCATTTCCTCTGTTCTTAGGTAGGGCAAAGCCTTCTCTCATTGGTATTGTTTATCTTTAACCTTTTTCCCTCTATAATATTAAAAGATTCCTCTTCCTCCACATATTAAGATCCAATTTCTTCTCAGGTACCGAGACCACCTCTGGAGGAACAGAGTCTTCAACTCCTGGCAATACTGAGAGTTCAACTCCAGGTACGGAATCAACAACAGACTCTACGACTCCTGGAAACACCGAGCTCTCCACGGAAGGATCTACCGGAACCCAACCCATGTCTACTGACTCACCCTCAACACTCCCCCCTGGAACCGACACCTCTTGTCCGACCCTGGAGGAGGGTCAGATCCATCTGGTCTGCCCCACTGGCTTCCGAAGACACCCTAAACACTGTAACCTCTTCTACCAATGCACCAGCTCTCCAGACAATCACGATCTCAAGGTTTTGGTCTTGAGCTGTGTGAATGGAACTGTCTACGATGAAAAGAAAGTGCAATGTTTACCTCCAGGTGGGTTAATATTACCATTAAATCATCCATGGTTACTAAAACATACGCAGCTATATGCCATTGATTATTGTTTTAGTAAAACCTTTTGTATTTCAAATAATTTTATAACGTGGCGTCAAACATTCTTCGACATATTAACTTAAATAACTATGTTTTGACGGTTATTTAAAAGCTCGCCATCATTAGTCTAATAAGTATCCACTTCATAAGGTGTCGTCAGTACACACAACCATGACTCGCATGTAAAAAAATTATCACATGATATAGAACTATCAACTACACTAAATTTTCAATTTTAAGTCTTACTATAGTAATTGCAAAATCCAATTGCAAGTTCCAAGCATTTACTTATCACCGAAGACGTCGGAGGATATTCAGATATTGTATTTCATATACTGTTTTCTTAATTTACAACTTCATAAAGTATATTAAGAAGAACAGTAGGGTTATACTCCCGTATACGATACTTCCCCGTGAATATAGTTTTTGAGTTTTTATTTGTGAAACTTCATTTATTTCAATTAGTGATAATTATTACCTAGAAAATGCACTTTGCATGGTACATCCAATTAGATACAGGATGGTACAATCTGAATAACAAATGGACTAAAAAACGTATCGTTTCTCATTGCCACAAAGTATGAGAACCCCATTAAAACAGTTCACCAAAATCAACCAGCCGAAACGAATGGTTTACCGAAACCGGCAAATACCAATGAAGATGGATATTATTTATGTACCACCTTGAAGACTTGAACAACCGGTTCTTTGACGTAGTGCTTTTAAATTATCCAAATTAATCCTATTTTCACATCAAGTCAATGATCTCCAGCCTGCTTGCGCATGGTTTGTTGAGCCTATCTCGTTTACCCTATCAAAACATAATGCAGGGTTGGCTTATGAATGCCAAGGTGTAAATTTATCCTCATCTAATATGATTGATTATGACACTTCCGTATTGTGAGTAATTTATGCTAATCCTCTTCTCTGCTGTTAAATTAGTATTGTAATGTGGGCTAAACATATTTATTTCGTATGTTTTTTTTATTGATGACGTTGTTCTATGGTGTTTTAGTCTTTCTTTAAGGTATTTACTTGAACCCATTCATAGGTTGCAAACCTCTGGTTTTCATAGATTACAAACATATTGGCAATCGAAACTTTAAAATTAGTTCTTCTAAAGTAAAGAGGTTTAAAAAAACACTGACATCATTAAGTTTTTGCCAATGATATCAACTATCTTATTTGAACTGTTTAGTGACAAACTTGGAGCGAGACAGCAACATTTTGTCATTATTATACAATTACTTAATTTAATTCTAGCGATTGAAAAAAATAAATAAACATAAAATAAGATACAGAAGAGTACTTACCAACCTCTAAAAACGAGAACTCTAAATAAAAATGTGTTTCTAATGGTAATATGAATTAATGTAAAAATAAAATAATATATGGTGTTATTAACTGTGTAACCATGGTAATTTTATATATCCGGTATTTTTGTTTTGGCCCTTTAGGTTTGGTAACGGGGGACCAAGCCTTGCTTGGTTGTAGTTAATTGAGCTTAATAGTTAAAGTAAAACATTATTGTAAACAAACATTTTATAATTACAAACCATAGACAGACATTTAATCGCTAAAATAATAACAACTCTGTAATGAAAAATCATGCAATTGAACAAAAATAAGATACATTTTTATGATCTTGCAGTCTAAGGGCTAATCGCACAGAATGTTTCTCTCCACTAGTCATTGAAAAAAAAAATTACAATGGCCTCCACTATGAAATTTTAAGTTGAATCAAAATAACTTTTTTCCAACATGGGTTTCTTTTACCTTAACATATATACCTAGTTTCATAAAGATCAGTTAAAGAAATAAAGTCATAAAGAAATAATTAAAAATAAAAATTTTAATGTTAAAAAAAGTTCAGAAATCTGTTTAACGAAGCGTTATTAGAAAAATGTTACTCTTGGACCCAAAGAATCACTACGTAAATTATGTACCCAACGTTTTTCAACACCAACAGTTTTCATACATAACTTATTGTAACTATTCATTATTCCTTCACGAAACTGACATTCATCACTTTTATTTATTAATGTTTACTTACAGTACTTAGATTATATGACAGATAACTAACAGATTACTTACAGATTTCTTTCTTAAACAACGTAGAGAAACAAGTTTCTCCAGAAGAATGTTCTTACATGGTTATACTTGGCCAGTCAGTGATGGCCAGTCGTTTTATTGCATCACATCTTTTCTCCTATATGCAATAAGCTAATATCATAAGACACCCAAAGAATGCAGAGTCTCGACTGAGAAATAAGACAAAGATAAACCTCTTCCACGCAAGGTAATAATTAGCAAAACCGGTCTGCATTCGACCAACACACACGCATAAAACACACACAAACAAACACACGCATACAAATCACACATAAACTCAGTACAGTAACCCTTACTCAACCAACCCTGCAATTTCTTTGTTGGTCTAGGTTCAGTGGTGATTTCATATTGCTTATTTACTCAAGGAAGACAATGGAGGCAAAAACGAATATTGTGAAAATATCTAAATAATTATCATAAAACAATTAAATATAATATTTGGCTTTGGATACTTAGACATGAATATGGACCATCCGCAACCGGTTTTAACTGACAGAGAAAAAGTGGGTGAACCTCTCATATGCTGCTGATAAAGTTATATTTCATATTTTACCTTAAACATGGAAAGGATTCTCTATTTCACCGTAGTCTATTTTTCACCATAACTACAAACATTATAAGAAGTGTTTTAATTCCTTGATTTAGCCAACGGATGTTAGAACGAAACTGTATGAATCATAAATATAAACAATTGAAGTCGCTGGCCTAAAACTTAATTAATTAGTATCACAAATCTGTAAATCAATAGAAGTCCTAATCAAGACATACTGTTTCATTAGATATTTTCACACACAAAGTATATACTTACATAATAAATGTAGAAAACTACATGATAGATGTATGTAACTACATAATAAATGTATGTTGTAGAAGAGGCAGCACCTTGCCAAGGGACGATGATGGCTCGAAGACTGACCAGAAGACTGGCTGATGGATCTATGCCTCCTGTAAGTATACAGTTTGAAGTCCTCTCCAGTTTTATTCCTTTCTTGTCTGTAAGGTCTGTTAAATAATTTTCCCAGAAGATGTACAAAAGGTCAACCCCTGAAATGTGATGGCGTTATTGATTCTCCAAGTTTTCACTTGTTTATGTTTTAATTGGTTGATCAAACCTTTACTATAAATATATCTTTACTTGTATCTTCGTGTATTCGTGCAAGTCTCCTTGTATAATTTTACCAATATAAAACCTAAGTGAATTCAAAATATGTTTTCCATGTAGAGGAGTTCTGTTTGAAAATCAATGGAGACAATGAAAGGAAGTTTATAAACTCTTAGGGACTACTGATATTTTTCTGAACACTGCAATAATACGTTATTTTTAAGTGCAAACATTTACATACGGTATTTTTTTTTTTTTATAACATAAAACATGTACAGTGGAACCTTGATAAGAAGACCCTCGATAACCAGTCGCCCTTGATAACAAGTGCCATTTTCAAATCCCCTTAAAATTATTTACCCCTAATCACATGTTATTACAAACCTCAATAAGAAGTCAACCTTGATAACAAGTCTTATTTTACAATTCCCATGAGAGTCTTGTTATCAAAGTTCTCCTTTAACTATTCCTCAGTTAGTATTAAACTTCTTCGTACCACAGTTCGAATATATTACACATTATTTAATCCCGTCGACGTATGAGTATATATGTCCTTTCCTTATTTCACCAAAATGAGAAATATTCAATAAGGTTTCATCATTTCAAAATACAGGGTGGTAAAAAAAGTCCCAGGACAGTTAAATATTTTAAAAAATAATGCAGATAGAGCTACAATACTTGGTACAAAGTTACAGGGCATAAAACTCTATTTTAACACATATTCAGTGATCCAATAACTCTTCAGGGGGACGGCCCACAAGGAGTCGGAAGAAAATCTTAAATAGAAGCATAGGCCAATATGCACATCAAATTAAAGGTCCTTTTTAGTAGAATACAATGCCACAAACCGCACTTCAAAAGGTTGATCCTGCGCAAAATTACAGTTGTTCAAAGATTCATTTAATTTACATTGTTATTATACGCTTACTCCTCAGGTGGCACACAGCCCTAGGAATCGGAAGAAAATTGTTAACGTAAGCATAGGTCGATATGCACATCAAATTAAAGGTCTTCACTAGTAGATTACGATGCCGTAAATTCAAGCACAAAAGAATGCCTGAGTAAAAAATGGCAGTCGTTCAAAGATTCAAAATGGCGGATTCAAGAAATCTTTGAACATCTGCCATTTTGCGCAGGACCAGCCTTTTGAAGTTCGGTTTGTGGCATTGTATTCTGCTAAAAAGGACCTTTAATTTGATGTGCATATTGACCTATGCTTCTATTTAAGATTTTCTTCCGACTCGTTGTGGGCCGTCCCCCTGAAGAGATATTGGATCACTGAATATGCGTTAAAATAGAGTTTTATGCCCTGTAACTTTGTACCAAGTATTGTAGCTCTATCTACATTATTTCTTTTATATTTAACTTTTTTACCACCCTGTATTATTAACTCAAGTTTCTTCCTCTAAGCAAATAGCAAATTACGATCTTTTCCCTCAAGAATTACAATCATGGTCTCTATTACCTTCCATAGTGTGAATATCATACGAATTCTCACCCCTCCAAGCACAAAATAAACTATAACGTCCTCTCTCTAAATTTGACTAAAGAGGCCTCTTCCTCCTTAAGTGTGTACATATTATCTACCCCCCCCCCCCCCCTCCATCATATAATCACAATTGTAACATCTTCCCTACAAAATATGAGTACTATATCTAACATATCATTTCACTCCAACTCTTAAAATATCAACTGTCATATCTTTCCCTTTATCCTAAGAGTATAAACTACATCTCTCTCATATTTTGAGTACCTAACAAACCATTCCCTCTAAATTTATACCGAACAATTTTCCCTCTAAAAATTTACAATTTCTTTCTTTTTCCAGGTGGAGGTCACCACCCGTCGCAGTCTCTGCCCGGCCGAAGGTCACTTCCCCTACGAGGGAGACTGCCTGAGGTTCTACAAGTGTCGTCGGTCCAACGGCCGCATGCACGGCGCCCTCTTCCAGTGTCCAGAGGGCTACGTCTTCTGGGACGTCTCCAGAAGGTGCGAGAAGTCGGCGAAGATCCCAGAATGCTCGAGAGGAGGACCCAAGAGACTTTGGCGCCCGACTAGCGCGCCTTTAGAAACAACTGAACTCGGCGTGCGGTAGTTAGGTTAGGTTAGGCTTCCCCCCAAAATGAAATACTTTCCCGCGTTCACGACATAGATTCGTAGCGAACGAAAACACACGAAAAGTTCAAATTGTAAAGAAATGCGCGTATGAACACAAATTGTTAGGTTAGGTTTAGTTAGGTTTCTCTTTCAAATTAATTGCTTTACCGCATTTACGACGGAGTTTTATAGTGAATGAATTTCATACAAAATGTTTTTAGTTTAAAATATGCACGTATGCACACACAAGTTTTAGGCTGGATAGGTTTCCCTCCAGATTAAATGTTTCCCCCGTTTATGACGCAGTTCATTTTAACAACCAATTCCCATACAAAAAATTACAATACTATATTTGCTCAGGTCTTTACTCATCTGTTATGTATTATGTGTAACTAATAAGACATTCGCCCAAAACAGTATAAATTTTAGCAATTGTAAATTGGTTAAATTCTCTAAATACTGCCTTACACCTACACTGCTTTTTCTTAAACGTGCATTAAATATCATATTACAAATATACATACTTAACAAATTGCAACTTCGACTTAACTAAGGAAACTTGCAATATTCCACGTGCCAAACCATTAGTAGCCTTTAAGTTCGTTTTCCACGTTAGGCCTATCTAGGATAAGTTAGAGTTAAGAAATTATGATCATTTAGTCAAGAGAAACAGGATTTCCAAACATAAACACCATTTTAAATGTGTTTATACTATAAGAATAAGATGTTGTAAACATGTTTATTTATTTATGTTTAACACGAACGCCATGGTCATTGATTTAGTAATAAAATAATTGAATTCGTAATTAGCGGACTAAATGAAAGGCATTAAAACATTGTTTAATGGGAAAATTTAACTTGAAATTTATTTTTGGTCAATATTATACTAGTCCGCTGCACCCTGTGAATATAAATAAGCTTAGGTGTAAATGCTTTATTTATGTGCATAATTTGTACTAGGCCATATAATGGTGTTAACTTGTTGGAAATACACCATTACTTCGTTTCATATCGAATATTCCGTTTAGATTTCTGCACATCTTTTACTTGCAGAAAAGTGCATTATTCAAGAAAGTTGTTTCATTCACTACATTGCAAAATATATTTTTGTTTTTGGTTCAAATTTCGTTAAAAAGTTATTTGCGAAAATCTCCAATGAAACGAAGACTGATGAATTTTCATTTCGGTGAAGGTTTTTAACAATGACAAATTTGGTTGTACAGCTCAAAAGAAGCTCAATGTAGTATGTGAGTAGTGTGACAAATAAAATTTGCTATGTAAGTTTTAACACATTGAATCAACACTCTTCACAACGAGAGTGTGTTTTACTAACTTATTTATTGTTTAGATTTAAGTTAGCGAAATTGTCTTTGTGATATGCAAATGAACGAATGATATGATGAATAAAGATATTTTGTATGTATAAAGCAGCATTTTATTTACAACCCATGTTTTAGTTGTTCACAGGCTCCTTGTGAATAGTCCTAAGTAGAGCGAGAGTAAACCTCGAAATTTATAATGTCTTGGTAAAATATGGCTATAAAAGTAGACAGAAGTTCCGTAGAGGTTAAAATTGGAAAGTTCAAACGTTTTTGATTAGTTAAGGTTGTTGGATGTAGGTGCTTTAGACTCTTTTGGGGCCAGGGATGATGTAAAGTATAGGAAAACGTTGGAAACATTTGGTATAAAATAGGAATTACATTTCTTTTTTAATTAAATGGACTGAGCTCTTTGACATGCAAACTATGTAATTGAATCACGTAATAACGGCTGAACACATTGAAGCTAATAACCGGGTACAGTGCTATATAAAACTAACGTAAAATGTTTATGCCTCATGGGTTGATATGATGATTACAATATATAAATCATACCATACAATATAGATGATTACAATATAGTTGATACCTAAATGTAAACAAAGAATCATAACATGCGTATTACCAGACGGAAATAAGATCTGAATACAGTACAAAGGAGAAATACATTTGGGTGAAAACAATTAATCAAAAAATGTACAGAAATTATGAAATCTTAAAAGCAAAAATGGTATTGATCTAATGTAAATGGGAGTTAATTATTCTATTTAAATCAACAGTTGTTGTTTGACTAATTAGCACAAAAACAATGTTCATCTTGATAGGATATTGGAAACATGCGATTTTGCCTTGGAATTTAAACAGTGCAATAAACTTATGCTGTTGGAAGCCTGTTGATGAGTGAAAGTGTGTTGACAGCATTTGAGTGCGTTGATGTTTACTAAAATGTTTCACTCTAATTTTAGACCACGACTTATAAACCATAATGTTCAAAATTGAAACAAATTCAAAAATGCTATGCGTATTATTACAACAAAGAATCTATTATGGTAAATTATTAGAATGAGCTAAGAAGCCTTATATCACAGAAAACATACTACTATAACCATATATACAATATACAATATACACATATATACTACAACATATATATAAAACGTTATAGTAATATGTTTTCTGTGCTTATATACATGCACCGTGTACAACTGTCATTTACAACATGTCGTCATTTTTGTTTTTAGGTTAGGATAAATCAAAGCGTTGAACGGAATGGGAGACTACACCTCTTTACTTAGGTTTATGTGTGATACTTGGGAGCCTAAACATTGAATCTTTGAACCTCAGCAGGCCTATGTAATGGTAGCATGGGTACTGCAGCTTACATCATATACAAATTAGCCGACAATGAAAATTACCTTGAAGATTTCCTTATTTACATGTTAGTGCAATTTGAAAAATGCATTGGACCCACTTTTTACAATGAGCTGTTACCTATACTTTATAAGTGATTGCTTCCTTTAAATTGGATAGAGTAAAATGTTCACAAAGGCAATCCCCACTACATCTTGCTTATGCAATTTCAGTACATCTCAGTCAACAGATGAGGCTGTAGTGGACCTGGGAAAATCAAATTTTCTCCTCGGAACACATTATCTAGCGTTGTCGAGAGTAAGAACAAGAACTATCGAGAGATTGCTAATTAAGCATTTTTTATAGAGAGTTACAAGCATAAACAAAAACAGTAAGTAGTCGTTAGGTACTCGTATGATGAAGTATTGTATTGGTCATTGACAGTTTTCTTAAGTTTTTATATGTGGTTTTTTTTATTTTTAAATTTTATTTGGAAAATGGTTATTTGTTTAGTTTTTGGTTTGCTCTGCTCAATAGGCAGACCTGAGACCGCACACCTAGTTATTTTTCCGGTTCGCTGAATACCAATTATTATCAATCAGCAATATTATCAATCAAAGAATACAATACAGACGATCTAAAGTGAACTATCTGCAGATGCTTTGGCCTTTTGGTTAGGGAGTTTGCCTTTTCAAACTTTAAAGTTGTCCTTTAAACTCTAGAATAAAATTATTCCAATAATTTATTCAATTTGAAAAACATCTGTAGTTTTCTAAAGTTTTCAAAATATTAGTTATATTTCTCGAAACACAAATACACACCACAAACAAAGGAATTAATAATTTAGAACAGATCCTCAAAAACTGATTGAACTAAATCCAATTATGACCCAATGTAAGTAAAATGATTAGGTTCCTTATGGTTTTGTGATATAACGGATTGAGCATTTGAAAAAGAATAATGTGTTTCTGATAAACGCCGAATGTTCCAAAAACGTATATTTAAAATAAAAGTATCATGGATTTATTTATTATATGTGTTATATGGTGTTAGGCTGATAATGATATACATTTATTTACAGTCTGCGTCAAACTTAATTTAAGCTAAAACGAGTAGATTGATATTACTGACGGCTTTGGTGGAATTTATCAAGCGCCTTCAACTTACGAAGACATACCAACTGCAGTAATGTATTGTGAGTTGTGGTACTTTTAAGCAGGCGCTCACTTGTTTCAGGAATAAACCGTGTACAAGTAATTTTTTGTAAAATATACTCGGAACTATAGCTTTGCTTTACTGCAGGGAGGGATTGTATAATGGTCTTAATGAAATTCTAAATAAAGATCTGAAAAGCAACTGTAAAAGTCCCGTCCAGAATAGGTTGAAACTTGCTTCTTAGTTTTGAATTACTTCTCTTTATGGCTGTACCAAGTGGTTTTATTAAACCTCTTTGGTGTAATTAAATCAGTTAGGTTACAGAACAAAAATCGCAAGTATACTGAAATTTAAACAAATTAAAAAATGTAAACGTTATGGTTTTCCTCTTTTTGTTGTTTATACTGCAACTCATTGGATGTAGTTACAATACAGTACTAAGACATCCACGTGAACTTACGAGCCTTACGATTTTGAGAGTCGATTTTTAAAATAGATTATGTACGTAATAATATTAAAAGAGTTAATTCCAAATTTTTTGTAACATCTAAGTCAATTTGGTCCAGCGTTCCTTGTTATAATAATATGTGTTTTATACATCATAAATGCACACAACTCAATACTGTATACTGTATACAGGGTATTCATTTGAAAACTTTCCATATCTGTCGTGTACAAAGGTATGAATGAATGAATATTTTCCACATAATGTACAGAATCCAAAATACATACTTCTTAACGTTACAATTACAAAAAATAAACGAAAACTAAAATAAAAAGAAAAATTTCTGTACTAACATAACTGATTAGTTTTTTTTTTTTGTTTTTTTAAATCAGCAGACATAGGCAAGTGCTGCCTGTGCGTCCGCTGGGTTGCTATTAAAAAAAATTGTAAGGAAATCATGGTGGTATGGCTTTTAACACTTGTTCGCTATAATTTCACCACAATTTGGCCTTGCCGGATCTAATACAACTATTTTCAATTTTGAAACATGCCCCCAAAAGGTCCCACCTCCCCAGTTATTTTAAAGCATTGTATTGATCTAATATAAATGGGAGTATAATATTCTATGAAAGGGAACGTGTTAACACATTAGCTACCAACTATATTCATCCCTCAGTTACAGATGAGTATGGCAGTAGGTAGGAAACGTAAAAATACTCAAACTTTAAGGATACAAAAAAACTGAAAACTCAAAATGCTTAAATAGGTATAGGAAATTGTATTGAAGCATAACTTTGTACACAAAGGTATGGCTTTTCAAATTAACACCCTGTATATTAATACTGTTAAAAATACTGTATACAAAAATAGTATATTACTATACTAGTCACAAAGTGACCCATTTCGGGGCGAGATAGTTTTACATGCGAGACAAATCATTGTGACGAGTATCACGATGAAGAAAACTACTTCCTCAAACTTAAAAAAAATAATCTGTTATTTCTTAAGCTATTTATTTTTCTAATCTAAACACAATACGTCTATACAATAAATTTAAGTGTAAAATTCAGCTGATTGTACATCAACCTAACTTCTGAAAAACTGCACAGTAAATATAAATTTGAATTTCTAAATTCAGTGTTCTCTAGTCTATGTTCTGAAAGATTTAATCGTTTTCTTAACTATTTAATCTAGTCTAAATTTGATATTAATGCAAGTTGTCAACTCTGTTAATTAAAAATGTATTTAAATAAATCAATTTTTCTGTTATGTATTTTTAATTAAAACACAATGGTGCTCGCTCCTTTTTAAGCCAACCGTGAACTTTAGTTGTAACTTTGTTCATGTCAAGAAAAGTCATCTGATCGGTGTATGGAAATTGACGATTTTCGGAGATCTCAGCTGTATGGAAATATGATATTTTCGATGAAAAGTATTGTATTATTGAAATTAATACATTACAGCAAGCATCAGCGTTGCTTGTAGCGCTATAGTGTTGGTGCGGGCTTTTGCAGAACTACTCGTGCCTCTGATTGTTTGCAGTACGTTGTCGATAGTTCTCACTGTATCCAAAAGATCGTAGCTCTGACTATATAACGAAATAAATAAGAAAAATAAATTAAAATTCGGTTATGCAATTTGATAGGGTTGCCATACTGTCCTTCAGTTAAGTTTATTATTTGCTATTTTACAGAAGGTAGAAAAAATTGATAACTCGGTTGTTTGTGAACCGTTTTTAACAAACAAGGTCTCATTTGACTTGGATTTAAATTCCCTATATTTTATTTTTAAAATGTTCTTAATATTTACGATTTTCATTAAATTTGACGTTTAAGATTTTGAATGGCTGCCATTAAGAAACCGCTTCAGATATTGGAAAGGCATTTTTAAGCTCTTTTTCACTTCTACACCACACATTTATACCAATTTTGAAATTTATATCTTGAAAATACCCAAAGATATAGAACAATTTTTTTTTTCTCAAACAGGCCGACAGACAGAAATCTAAATATTTTAGACCCATACTTATACGGCATTTTACGTTTGTCTTAGCCCAAGGAACAAGTCCACAAAGTATGACCAAACAATTTGGAAACACCCTGTATATAAATGAAATAGCTTAGCATTGAATCAATTTTTATAAA